ATATTAACCCCCAAATTTAATAAGAAAAATAGGCTCCTAAAGATGTGTTTAGTGTAACTTTTCAAAAGTAATTATAGTACTTTTAACTTTTTATAAATATTTTTTTTTACAAAATAGTGTTTAAAACCGTCCTACCACCACCATTGTCGAAGTAGTTGGGCCTGTATCTATCGTAGTTTTATAATGATCGAACATGTTGCTATACTTATGACCCACGCGAACTAGAGGAAAAGATTATACCCAAGCATTATTAGCACAAGCTATATCCAACCCTTCCCATTCCGTATGTGGGTTCATCCAATTATTGCACCATGTATATTGATAGCCTATGCAGCCAGGTCAAGTAATGCACAACTATCTAAACCTTCACGAAAATCCCTCATTTGCCAATTAGGCCTATCCCGACCCCCCCATCTTTTCAACACTTTTGAAAATCTCGTTGAATTCACCCACACTTAACCATAGTAAATCAATTCTCATGCTTAATTGACAAAGTAACATCCAAGATTCCATTCACCGGTTAAGAATAATACAATGGTATCAAAAAGTTTTTTCAAGATTTTATTGAAATTTTTTTTATTTTTTTATAATCATAAATCATTAAAATAATAAATAATTTTAAAAAAGTACACGTGTCAGATTCTAATTGACCAAGAAAAATAGATACGACCCAAAAAATATAATACCAGCCAAAATATTCTAATCGGATAGGCTTTATTTGGTATGAAAAATATTGATACTAAGAAATTAGTGACAGAAGTAATGAGAAACAGTGTTCAAAAAAAAAAAGACAAAAGTAATAAGAAACAAAAAAGACCAACTTGTTCCTAAATCATCCAAATATAAATTTGAATTGTATAATTTGAAAGCCTTGGCGTAGAGGTAAAAAATTTTAGGGAAAATTTCATCGACACCCTTAGGTCTAAATTTAATAACATTTTCTTCCGATTTTGAAACTTCACTGCACTCTTTTTTGATTTATATTGTCGAATCATATACACCCCTAACAATATCTTCCGCATTTGACAGTAGATAAAGTGTGCGATTTGACTACCTATTCTTTAAAAATACAAAATTACCCTCTGTTATGTTAATGTACTAAAATGCATAGGACGTCCCTTTATAAAGTTTAGTTTTTTATTTTTTTTGATAAGTAGTATGATATATTTATGTATAATGAAATTATTTTTTACACAAAATAAAATCATTCAACATAATAAGGTCAAAATTTCATACAAACAAAACAAAATAAAAAAAATATTAATTGTAACATTTTACCAAAAGATAAGGTTAACTACAATCGCTTTCAATTGATTTCAATGAATTATTATCATTTTAAGCATTGTATGATAACTTAATTATAAATACCACTGTGATATATTAGTATAAATATTAGTCATCATATTATCACTCATTTGATAACGTAATCAAATTTTATAATTTTTATATTTAAATTTTTTTTTTCTATAATAAAAATTACAACTAATAAAGTCAATGTCAAAGTTACACCCATTTTTAACTCTTCTGCTATCATCTATCCTCCACAACATCACCCAACAACTCTTCACACATCACCTTTCACACATTAAATTTAAATATTATTTGATAAAATTTAATGTTAACTGAATAAATTTAGATGTTGTTTTAATGAAATTGAATGTTAATTTGGTATTAGATTAAAGAAATGACATTAATTTGATGAGGTTAAATGTTAAATTAATAGAATTTAATATAATTAAATTTTAATTTGATAAAATTTAATATCAATTTGGTGTTGATTTGATGAAATTAAACAATAATTTTTTGTTAGATTAAAGAAACTATATTAATTTAATTTAATTAAACATTTATTTTGTATTTATTTGATGAGATTGAATGTTAATTTAGCTTTAATTAATAAACTTAAAGGTTAATATAATATAACTAAAAGGGAGTGTAATGAAATTTTAGAATCGGGAGGGATGTCGTTGAAGTTAGGTCTATTTATAGGGGTGCGTTGATGAAATTTACTCTATAAAATACTAAGGAGTATTTTTTGTAAAATAATAGTCGTCGTTAACACCGTAAACAGACAACAACTAACAGGGGTTGCATTTAGACATAACTACAAGAAGTGTGAATAAAATTTTTTCAAATTTTTATTGTTATGACTTTGACGCTAAAACGTAGAGTTGCAGTAATAACAGAATAAGGTTATACACATCTAAATTTCTCTAACTTCAGTATCAAATTCAATGAAAGTATCGTGCCCTATACTATTGCCTTTTTTTTAAGCGAACAAACTGACTAGTTAAATGACTAATATAACAATATCAAAAAAAAAATGACTAATATAACGCTCTCTGTCTCTGTTCTTTCTAACTTCACCTCTTCATCCCCTACAGGCTACAAAAACTATGCACACAAGAAGCAATTCACAACCACCATTGAGCACACACCTATGATTAGGCGCATAGTTGGGAAGTTTTTTTTTTTTTTTTAAGGTAGACACATTCTAATTAGAAGATTTAATTTTATTCTACAATGAATAAAAAGAATGTGATATATTTGTATTTTTAACATCATATTTGTTAGATAAAAATTTATTAAATACAAAAAAGTCATAAGTTAGTATACATAACCAATGAAAAAACAACAACAAAAATAATTAATTATACCTCTTTACAAAAAAATGGAGCTAATTATAGCCATTTACTATTGATCCTGATGAATTTTCATACTTTGAAAATTTTGTATGATAATTTTATTATCAATATAATTAAAAAGTGTCTTTCTTTATATAAGTGATTAGGTTATTTGTTATCCATTGATCACTCATTTAATTATACAAACTAATTTTCACAATCTTTACTACCAAAAATGCTCTTTCGATAAGGATAGTCGCAATTGGTAACATAAACGTTAAAGTTACAAATAAGTAAACTAGTGGATATATTATTTCGTATGTTTTGCATGAACTTATTTATTTATTTATTGCACTGAGGATGAACAACTTACTAGTCAGCCAATTTTAGGAGTAGGTCAAAGAAGACACAAAAACTAGAAAAATATAATATACAGGACGCTAACAGAGCAAAAAAGTCGCTTTGGCCGAGTGGTTAAGGCGTGTGCCTGCTAAGTACATGGGGTTTCCCCGCGAGAGTTCGAATCTCTCAGGCGACGATTTTATCAATATTTTTTATCAATTTTTTCAAAATATCAGTAGTCAAAATAAAACACAATATAATAGATTACTATACATAATTAAAGAGTTTAAATCTTTATTAAGTCAATCATTTTATAAACAAGTAGACCTAACATGACAGGATTAATAAACGAATCAAATATGCGTGAAGCCAATAAAAAAAAAATTACGATATGATGACATGATTAATAAACGAATCAAATATGCGTGAAGCCAATAAAAAAAAAAATTACGATATGATTAGTTCAAATGTCGATTATACACTACAAAATTTTAAAAATGAATTGATGGATAAAATATTTTTTGAAACGAACCCGTCTCACTCGACTCCCAAGCCCATCTCATTCGACACAATTAAAGGGCGTATGAGTGGTCCAAATTTCTTCTACAGGGCTCAAGAGAGCAAGAACGTGGGCTCAAATCAATGGTCAACAACTTTAACAACGACAATGATGTTAGTTTGATTAAATAAATTCAGGAAATTTATTTTTATAGCTAAATTGACAGTAAAACTCCTTAGTATTGACACCTACCACTAGTTTTATGATAATAGTAAATTTTAGTGAAAAATTTCACTGATTAAATTTGATATAAGTGGCAATATTTATTATAAAATGACTTTATTCAATAGAACATTTTTACTTGTTATATGGAACGTAACAGCATAATGTGTTGTATCATAAATTCAACATCAAAAAAAAATTATATTAGTTTGATTAAATTTATTTATTAAATCTGCTAATCAAATTCATTATTATCATTAACTAGAGTGTGACCCATTTTCAAGACCTGCTACTAATTTTATTGCGAGAGTGAATCTTAGTGAACAAATTCAGCTTTTTTTTTTGTTGTTTTACATATCGGTTCTAATTGGTATGTAATTTTTTTTCTATAGAATATCCAAACTTCTGTCAACTATTCCCTCGAGTTTAATGACAGACCACCATGACTTGAGTTAATTTAAAACATATCTCTAAAGAGACAAGAGTGACTAATCCGTAAAAAAATATGTGAAAAAGAATTAAACATCAAACCTTTGGATTACCAAAAGTCAAGCTTAATCATTGATCCACCCTAAGGGGTAATTCAAACGTAATTGAACCAAACAAAAACCTACCCCTAGCTACCACGATTGTTTAGCAATTCTGTGGGACATAAATCTCACCTTTAACATTACCAATAGCAACAAACAATGGCCCTTCCTCCAAACAACAAATGTAGCGTAAATTCCAATCCACTTGAGAGAAAGTATGGAGTTTTCTAACCTACCAATTGCGCTTCACGGCTTCTTCAGCCATAATGAAATGAATTGTAAAGAACTTAAACCTGGATAACCCATCCAATTCACCAAAACTCTCTCTCTCCAAAATAACCATTACACTCACCCTATAGTCCTACCACAACGAATTTGGACTATATAAAAAATAACTTTTTGATACAGCTTCAAAACCGGCCTAATTCATTGCAGCAGCCAAACGTCACAAATTTTAACCTTGTAACGAAATCACCAAAATTCTTAGCAAAGAAAAGCGGTAGCACTGCCGGAAGTTGGGCATCTGACCAACCAAGAGAATACAGGGTAAACCAAGTAGTCATGATTCTGAATTTTCTTCTTTTAATATAAACAAAAGAGGTATATACTGCCTCAGTAACCTATTTAGCCACATCTTGGCAAGGAAAAACTTCAAAAGAATATACTGTAGAGATTTGAAAGGAAAAAAATACTCTACTAATACAATATAGCTCACTGGATGCAACAGTCCAGACTCTCAGCAAACTCATTTGGTACCTCCATGAGCACACATCAATCATCAGATTAACCTAGGACCTGCTCCTTAATTTCTTCAATTTTGGCAGCCAATTCTTCCCTATTTCTCTGCAAAATGAAGGAAACATAAACAAATAAGCACTACTCCTTATGTTGAGGAGGATATACACAGTCAGGAAGCACACTCTTAAAAGACTACCTTAAACATTAGGTAGCGGGTGCTGAACCAGAATGTGTAGGCAAGACCCACAACTTGCATCAATTTAGGGAACTGGTGTCACAAAATCAGACAGTGCCAAATTGTCAGTGAACAGACTTAACTATAAAAACTCGGACTAACTTCAATCTTCTGTAAGAAAAATGAATACGTACTACACACCACAGGGATAGAATCAATGGATCCAACAATGGCCGTCGCTAAATAAACCAGAGTTAGGGCGCCACCACCAAATAGGAGAATTGAATATGAATCTTCTGATTCAAACTGCAAGAGAGTGAAGTAGAGTGTCATAAAGAATGCCAAGTAATTGAAAAATGTAGACCTCGGTGGTTTCTATGCCTTCAAACAGGTAATGGACCACCAAGATTTGTTAGGTGCAAGAAAAAAAAAATATGGCAGGAGAATGAGGAGAAGCAAGCAACAGTAGAGGTAAATAGCACCACTTTTTCTATATTTTTACTTTCCTTACTAAATCAAACCTCTGACTGAACCTGAACCTCTAGACCCATCCCTTTTCCATCAGTTAGACAATTTCACACAACAGTGATCATAATTAGCACAATGAATTTAGTACCTAATTTGATATGTCCATCAGGAAATGAACCATTCAAAATCTTAGCATGCCAAAAAAATGTGAGAGAGACAAAAGATCCCAAGCAACTGACATTATTATCACATAAAAAATGTTATAATTGAGATGAATAAGTTCTCTACTGCTTCAAAACAAATGACATCATCAATTGTCATACATAAAAAATAAAGATCAGGTGGGCTTTGCTTACATCCTCAGCTATACTACCAACAAATCTTCTAGCAGTCACAATGCCAACAAGGAAAATGTAGAGTATTAAAACCTCAACACTACAGAGGGTCATAATGACATAAGGAAATCAAAGTTCAACGCAATTTTCATCGTGAAACACATGAAAATATAGGATCATAGTTATTAGTATCGTACGATATGCGATATATATCGTACGATACGTCCAATATGTGACGATGCTGTTATTTTTTTCTATTTTTTTGTTTTTTGATACTGAAATGACATCATTTTACCCTATAACTTATTTTTAAATTACTAGCCAGTGAAACAACGTAGTTTCAATGGTTATAGTTTAAAAAAAATAAATAAAATCTGTTGTTAATACTGTTCAATTAAATTCAAAATTCCTGATTAATATTAATGTTGTTCAAGCAGTTAATGTTAAAAATTTAAATTAAAAGTCTTTGCATTTTGATATTACTGAACTATATTGGGAACTTGAATAGTTGGTGGAATATTAATGAAATGCTATAATAGTCTATGACTTTTTGACAAAGGATATCCGATACGATACACTATGTTTTAAAAACGATACGTCTTCTGATATGCAATTTGACAATTATGTATTGGATTATGCAATAAAAAGGATAACGTAAATTATTAACAGTCAGCAAATACCAGGAAGAAATTAGAGATCAAAATATTAACTCAATCAAAAAAAAAAAAGGGGGATGAAAATTATCAAACAGGAAAAAACATAACAACAATATCAAAAAAAATCTTATTGCTCAGTTAACCGCTCAGGATCGACATAGATGTCGACATTTTCATTAAGCATTTACTAAATCCTTCAATAAGTTTCTAGCATTCATCATTGCAATCTATTCGAATTCAATGAAAACTCCTTCCCCATAAACTTGCAAAGACCAGTTCCCAAAAGATACAGTAACAAATAAAAAGGAAGTCCAAAAAATAGGAAAAACACTAGATGTTTGTTACAAAAAAACCAAAACATGAAACCTGAATATGGAAATAGATAGCACCAATGACCAATTATAGGGGGAAGAAGAGGTCAATAACATGCATATTATGGCACCAGAAATAGTTACCAGAATTTGTGAGAGGGTCGGGAGTAACAATATAAAAATATAACTTGCAAGACTTCAAACCTCACATTCACCCTCAAACAATTGAGCTACAGCTCAGAAACATATCATAATTACCAGTTGATAAAAACGATATCATACAGATTTCCTGTGATATCTACTAAATCAACTAAGATTTTGATTCCTGATGCGTTGAAAGAACAAGAAGATATAAAGAACCATGTAACAATTGGGAAGAAATGTAAACCCTGAAAAAAAGGAAAGAAAAATTTGAAATTAAAATATCAGGGCAAATGTAGATAGTCAGAATAGAATATCGGAAGAGTACTAGTGAAGGCAAAAAAACAAGGTTGCTCAGGTAACCGCTCAGATCGACATGATCGTCGATATTTCATTAAGAATCTATGAACTCTCAATAACATATAGCATTCATCACAGCAACCATCCTTTATTAAATCCCTTTTATCAGCTATTCCGCCTATATATGAAGCTTACTCCTTTTAGAGAAGTACTTGCCCAAGATGAAGCGAGATAAAAACATTCGGAAACATGGTATCGAAGAAATAGAAAAGGGGAACAAAATGCATCACGTGGACTGCCAATGTCAAAAACATAGAAAGGAAGCTGTGACTCAGTGCACAGAGAACATAGTCAGAATAAAACATTGAAAGAAGACTCACGAAGGGGAAAATACTATTCCTCAGTCAACTGCACAGGATAAATATAGCTGTCAACATTTCATCAGGCATATAGATAAAACTGTTCAATAAGTTTTTTACTCTGCTTGCAATCCAAGAAAACAACATAAACTTACAAAGATAAATCAGTTAAAATAAAGTATTCAATGCACTACACATGGAAAAAAAAATTAGCTAAACGAAAATCAAAACAAAAAAAAAAATAGAATAGAACAAAAAAAATGAAAAAAAAAAACAAAAAGAACTTAATGCCAAAGTGGACTATTGAATATTTAGAAACTACAAGACCTTTGGGTCCATCATGGATGGGCGAGTTCGGTTTGAGTGTTCATCAATTGAGTGGATCTATATACTCCAGGAAGGTGAGAGGAGGTGAAGCGCAGGTCAGAACATCTGTTTTGGGTACAGAGGGCCATAGGTTCATATCCAGTCACCTTGATGTGACCGTAAAGTCAACAAATCCTAAAATATGAACATCCATCGACTGTTACCACCTCCTTTTAATCGTGACCTGTTTATTGACTTTCTGTAGCAAGTACACGAGACCTATAACTCAAGATCATATAACACCATAATATATATAATATACAGATTAGTGCTTTTTTTAGACTCTTGACTGCTTGTTGGTTGAACACAACCAATATGATATTGAGCTTGAGCATCTCAATAATGGGGCTAGTGAAAATTTTTCACATTTACGAAATGCTTCTTTATAAGGTGACAGGGCAGCCAGTTTAAGTGAGGCCAGACGGTTTCCGAACTTCTCCTTTTAGTTAACCCGTCTATTTGCACACCAAGAGGTGCATGGTTCAAAACCTCCCCAAAGAAGAAAAACAATTAGAAACTACAACTCGAGTTGACAAGCCCACCAAGCAAGCATATTAAATCTGTACATGTTCAATGAATCCCCAAAGAAGAAAAACATTTCAGATTTAAAACCAAAAAGTGTGGTAAGAACAAAATGAAAAATAAAAAAGCCTCTTTCAGAACCCAACGGCACAGCAAACATCCCTCATAAGTCTTAATCGAGTATACTACTGAAGTTGTTATTCAACACATAGAATTCATGGCAAGATGATTGAGATAGTTTTCAGAATGAAATCATTCAATCATTCGATCATTCGTAGTGTTCCACAAGATAGCGATGAAATGGTACAAACGGTGCCATAGAAAAGTATGATATACATTAATCATGTTGTGAGTTCATACCTCTGGAACTTCTGAATGCAGTGCAGAACATATGCAGGGAGTGGCACAACCCACTAAGCAAGCACATTAGAAATCGTGATTGCTACTACAATAATTATACAAAGTTCCCAAGTTAAAACAAACAAAATACAAATAGATTGTCGTAAAAATAAGACCATAAAAGAAATATATAGCAATGCTATACATCTTAAACCATGTGAACAAGAAATTTGATGCGTATACCCATCCACACGCATCAATCCATATGAAACAAACGCAAAACATTGTTTGCATGTGTCGCCGCTTTGGAAGGGGATTGCAGTATTTGAACAGTCCGTGTCAATTTCAGAGTCACACATTTACACTTCTGTTTTTGTACTTACAAAATGAATACAAGGTTTCACAAAAATAACTTCATGCAACTCTTTTTTCAGGTAAAAAACTTCATGTTACTCTTGTGAAACAGAGGGAGTACTTCTACTACACATTATGAGAATGAGAAATTTACCTTGATATTGAGCTTTTCAAGAAATTCAAATGGTTGCATTTGGTCACCCTCAGGAGAATCTTCTTTGGGTCCTCCACTCTCATCATAATTCTTTTCGACAGGTTGAACATCTTCCTTTGCTATCACACCATCAAATTCATATTTCATATACTGGCCTGGCCCACCTGACCTTTCTTCAGACGTTGTCGATCTTAGAAATGAATTGTTGTAATACAGCAATCCTGAACAGAAAACCAACACGGTGTGTGTGAAAGAGTGAATTTTGTTTAAAAATAATTCCCTCTTTCTCTATTCTTAACTTAAAATTGTTGACTCCAAAACTGTTGCAGAATAGTGGTGAAAGTGCAGGCTGGCACCAAAAGAGTGTGTTTGAGTGTTTTGATTTTTTTTTTGGTTTTTTTTTTTTGGGGGGGTGGAAACCAGGGAGGCTGAAACAACCAACGATTTAAGGCATTACATAGTCTGGAGTGGGTCGCAATCCATTCCTCATATAGATATAGACAACACCATGTTTCCAATATATTCAATTTGACAACTACAAGCATCATTACCATTATTTACATACTTCAAACCTGCTAAAAACACATTAAAACGCTAATAAAATAGACAATTCATGAAATCAGAAATCAATTATTCAGCCAAAAAAAATTTAAAAAAAAAAACAGCGTAATATAAAAAGAGCAAGAGTCTTTTCCCAAGGATATATGACAGAATAAGGATTACTTGAATGCACTTAAATATACGTACATGTACAAAAGTATGTATCGATGCAGTTACACAAAAAAATTGATGTAAACTGAATCTAAACCCTAACCATTTATTATCTCTGAATAACTCGAGAAATTTTGATAGAATTCTGATCCAAAGACGAAACAAAGGATCGAATAATCATTCTAGGATTTTGTACAGCCACGGTACAGAAGATGATGAAGATTCTAAGAAAGTTTAGACCTGGATTGGTGCGAGAGATCGAGGCCTGCTTGAGAGGGAGAGAGGTTTTCCTCCGGAGATGAGTGTGGCTTGGCGTTAAGGGTCTCTGGTGAGCAAGAATGGAGATGGGTCGAGCTGTGCAGAGGTCCATTTTCAGGGTAGAGAGGGTTAGGGAAAGGGCTGTTCTAGGGTTTACGAAACCCTAGGAAACATCCAACGGCGTACAGTTCAGGTAGTGAAAATAGCCTCGCGATGCGGGCCGTGAGTTTATATGACCACGAGTGAAGTATATCCGGAAATGACTCTCAAACTATGACTGTCGGTCAATTAAATTCTTAAATTTTTTTTTATATCAATTGACCTATTAAATTTTTTAACAGAAAATAGTGAAGTATGTCCCTTGCAAGACCCAAATAATTTGAATAAATTATACAGATAGCCTTCAAACTATGACCTCTTATGTCAATTAAGTCCCTAAATTTTTTTGTGTCAATTGAGTTTTTTTGTCTTTTTTATATCATATAGTCACGTGAGTGGCATATTAATAGAAGGGCTCAATTGATACAATTAAAGAGTTCAAAGACTTAATTGACAAAAAAAATTTAAGAACTTAATTGAATAAATATCATTAAGAATCAGATGTATAGTTTACTCTTATATAATTGAAGATCATTCTCTTATTTTTTTTGTAATTACAATACTCACTACTTTGGTATTGTTTTCAAAAGATCTCATGCACTATACAATTTTTGACGAAATTAGAAACGTCATGGCTTTGTTGATCGCACCAATATGTCATAACCCTTCCTTATACATCAATTCGTTCAATAACATATAGATCACCTTTTATTATTATTGTTATTGTTGTTATAAATTTAGTTTCTAATTTGTTTTTCACCTACTGAAGAAGACGGATCTTCACATCATTAAAGAAGGTTGAGATAATAAAAGGAAGCTCCAAAGAGAAGGTTGAAGAGAAGACATAGGCCATTGTGGTGTGGCCGAACCTTTGTAAATCCTATTTGTCTTTCTTCTTCTGTTTAAATCTATTGCATCATTTTTACTACATTTCATATCATGTCATTATACATTTCACTATGCTTACATTGCATAATTAGTTAGAATTAAATAAATTAGAAATTAGTCATTAGCTAGAACAACCTAATTCACCCCCCTCTTAGGTTGCATTTAGGCCAACAATTGATATCAAAACTAGTTCTCTTGACATAGTATGTAACAACCTTAGAGCTAAAAATCATGGCAAACTTGGAAGGAAAAATAGTTGAAGGACAATCTATCTCTAGACCTCTATTCTTTAATGAAAGTGATTATACATATTTCAAGGTTATAATGAAAAATTTGTGACACCCTAAAATTCGGGGGTCCGTTAATTACCCATCAACCTGCGGAATACCCGTGGATACCGAGTAACTCGATATCACACTGTTATGCCCCATTTATCGAGGTCCTTGATTTAACAAAATTGGGACAAAGTCTCTTTTGTATGGAGAGCTTTACCCAAAACACAATTTGTGCAATATACATTAACATGACCCGTCCGAGGCCCCATATAACACAATGACCACACAGAGTCCATTTATAAGTAAAACTTGACCATACCAGGTCCAATCATTCATATTTATATCAAACACATGCAAGGTTAATTTAACAATAGTCCATATAAGTTCTATTACAATTTAAAAAAATACATGCTTAAAACATTCTTTCCACAAATATTTTACATCAACACAAAATAAATCCACATTTGGCTTTCTTCAAACATGAGGGTCCAAATTGGAGCCATCAACCGGTGTATCTCTCTCACCTGAAATGTTTCCCATATAAGGTGAGCCAACGCTCAATAGAAAAACTCCTATAGAGACTACTCCCCACCTAAAATGTGAATGCAATGCGCATATGCCACAAATAACTTCTTTCCAAATAAGAATATGTTATTTAAGATAGAATCTCATGATATCATGCCAAGTAATGAGATGAAACTCACTCATGCATGCTATCCCGAGCCCACACCGACTCCCACAACACAATGCGACTCATATGTGTAAAACAAACATTTTTGATGAAACACATCTAAAGATCATTTTGAAATCAACCATATGTCATAAAGTCAATTCATTCTTGGATGTTTCCTATCAAATGAATAATTTATATATCAAAATCATATGCCTTTATGGGGTATCGGAATAAGGAATCGCACCTCCAGCTCCGTACGTCGTTACACTTTTTTGGAATTTCACCGCCGGTAAGTGTATGAACCAAGTAGCCGGGTTTTTCACCCGAGGGAATGTCTAGCCCTACTTGTTATACCCGACACAAATTTTCTTATGCATGTAACTATGCAACTCCGTAAGACATTCCATCCCACTTTCCTGAGCCCACCATCAAGCACCAATGTTAGTGTTGATCACCCCATGCAACCTTACACCCACACTCATGCATGTAGCCCATGAATGTGATGTCAATTCCATGTCCATATTGTAATGCAAGTCAAATGAACAATTTTTACACATCAATGTATACCATGACAATTTATATCATTTACATATAATCACCATAACTATTTCAAGTTCAATATATTCAAATATATAAATTCTATGATCATCATAATGCTAACATATCGTTAAGCATACATCAACATAACATTACAATTATAAATCACATCATAAGCATGTAATTTTACTTTACCACATTTTTCAAGCATGCTATTTTATCAAACACCTTCAAGGCACTAATCATGTAATCACATAATTCAAGTATTTTAGAACATTGCAACTATCTTGGATATGTGGTAAATGTATGACCACATTACATGAGGATTTGGAGGCTTAGAAGTTAAGAAATCAAAGAGGTATTGGTGTTTGATAACAAAGGTACCAGCACTAGCTTCTGCTGGTGGAAGTACCTCTGTTTTTCTCTAGTTTTACCATGATCCACTCAAAATCTAGATGTTTTTTGTATCGTGTCAAAATTTCAACTCAATCCAACGGTTGGATCAAAAGTTATAATGATTATACGACAACTGGTCCAAAGCAGAAAAGTGTATCGACTTTTCTTATTATCACATAATATTGCCCACATCTTTATAAATCACATTTGAGCACATAACATACCCAAACACATCAAATCCCAAGGAATCATACAAGTAATTTCCTTTGCCAATTTTTACTAGGAATTTATATAGGTCCAATTCCACACCCATTTCCTTAGTCATATACATAAATGAGTCAATATATATATATATATATATATATATATATATATAAGCATATATATTCAACCATCCTACATAGACATTCTAGGGTAAGAATAGACTCAAGTAGGAGAACCCCCTACCTTAATAAAAGTGTAGAGACTTCTATTTCACCAAAACAAGCCCCAAACCTTTGATCCTCCAAGACTTTGTCTTTGAATCTTTGGTGAAAATCTTTGTTTTTGGTACCCACACGTAGCCCTCATCGCGTAGATTGACTTTAATCCTTTTTCGCTCCGAAACAATTAAATTTCGTATCGGTTTAAGTTCAAAATATTTTATATGAACTTTATTTAAAATATTTTCCAAATTTCAAATTTTTTTATAAAAATTTCGCTTTTGGGGGGTCACTAGACACCTATCACCTCAAAAAACGTGAAAAACTCAATTATCTCGGAATTCAACGAAATTTGTCTAGGTAGCTAGATTTCGCGAGATGAATCCAATGGTAAGGTCCGTTTCATCATCCGAGGTCTAAAAAAATATCAGTTTTCAATCTGCGTTATAATGACAAATTACCAATTTGCCATTTTTCAGAAAAAGTTAAAATTTTTTCCAGGTTTCACAAAAACATATCATATCTTTAGATAATATATCATCGGATATCATTGAAGATAAGTATACAAAACCTACAAAAAAACAAGAAAGAATGGATTAGTGATTAAAATAAGGCTCACACTAGCAATGACAAGGCAATGAATACATTATATTGTGCATTAGTTATGAATGAATTCAATTACATATCTACATGTGAAACCGCTAATCAAATATGACATATGCTAGAAGTCACACATGAGAGAACCAATATAGTTAAAGAGTCAAATATAAATATGCTTGTATATGACTATGAATTGTTTAAGATGCATTCTCAAGAAACTATTACTGAAATGTTTACCAGATTTACCAATATTATAAATGCTTTAAAGTCTCTCGATATATCTTACTCGAATAAAAAACTTGTGAGAAAGATTCTTTGGTGCTTACCAAGATCATGGGATGTCAAAGTGGCTGCTATTCAAGAAGTAAGGATCTCAAGGTCTTCCCTCTAGAAGAACTTTGTGGGTCACTCTTGACCTATGAAATGAGCATTAAAACAGATGAAGAGCAAGAAAAGAAGGAGAAGAAATCAATTGTCTTTAAATCAACAAATGAAACAAATGAGGATGATCAAGAAGAAGAAGAAAGTGATGAAAAAATTGTATTTAGCACTAGAAAGGTCAAAATTTATTTGAAGAAAAATGGGATCATTTGTTATGAATGCAAGCAATTGGGGCACGTCAAATCTAAATGTCCATCTTTTAGAAGGTCAAACAAGAAAGAACAGAAAGTAGCCAGGAAGGCTACATGGAGTGATAGTGATGATATCGATCCGATGAAGATGAAAATGAGCAAGTTGCAAATCTATGCTTCATGGCATATGAAGACAATGATAAGGTTTGTTTCAAGTTTACCTACAAAACTAACAAATGGTTCCTTGATAGTGGATGCTCGAGACATATGACGGGAGATATCTCAAAATTTACTCAACTATCAAAGAAAGATGGCAGATATGTAATTTTTGGAGATAATGCCAAATGTAAAATTGTTGTTATTGGTAATATGCGTAAGAAGTCCTCTCTCTTAATTGAAAATGTGCTTTGGGTAAGTGCTCTACTGCATCATTCTTATTTCATTTCTCACCATATGATTCTACATTTTATTATTTCTTACATTGTATAATTAGTAAGAATTAAATAAATTAAAAATTAGTCACTAACAAAAATAACTTGATTCACCTCCAGTTTTAAGTTGTATTTGGGCCAACAAAATGTCATATATAACCACTTCTATATATTTTACTATTGCTTAGATTGCCTAATTAGTTATAATTAAATAAATTA